GCATACTCCAATATGGGCCTAACGTACACGGTGTACAGGATCCTGAAGGACTCATTATTTAGATGTCGGAATGTTGTTCTTAGGTTTGCCAGGCGCCTGTATGCTGCAGCAGTTATTTGGTTAATGTGTGCCTCAAGAGATGTGCCCGGTGTTATACTCGCCTCCAGATCCTTTTTCTTGAGTGAGGTTTGTAGGCTCTGGCCCCCTAGATTGTACTTCGTCTGTGGTTTTTCTTTGCCCTTCCCCAATCCTCATGGCTTTGCACTTGGTGGGGTTGAACTCCAGGAGTCAGTTGCTGGACCAGGCCTGCAGCCTGTCTAGATCCCTCTGTAGTTCTGCCTGGTCCTCTTCCGATTGAATTCTTCTCAACTTCACATCATCTGCAAACAGGGACACTTCGGAGTCTATTCCTTCTGTCATGTCGTTCATAAATACCAGTCCGAAGACTAATCCTTGTGGCGCCCCGCTCGTTACAGGCACCCACTCTGACACCTCGCCACGTACCATGATTCGCTGTTGTTTTTCTGACAGGTATTCCCCAATTCATTGTAATGCCTTCCCTGTTATCCCTGCCTGGTCCTCCAGCTTTTGCACTAATCTCTTGTGTGGAACTGTGTCAAACGCCTTACAGTCCAAGAATATGCAGTCTACACACCCCTCTCTCTCTTGCCTTACTGCCGTCACCCTTTCATAGAACTCCAGACGATTTGTGACACAGGATTTCCCGTCCCTGAAACCGTGCTGGCCGTCGTTGATAATCTCATTCGTTTCTAGGTGCTCCACCACTCTTCTGATAATATTTTCCATGACCTTGCATACTATACACGTCAGTGACACTGGTCTGTAGTTTAATGCTTCGTGTCTGTCTCCTTTCTTAAAAATTGGGACTACATTTGCTGTCTTCCATACTTCCGGGAGTCTCCCTGTTTCGATAGATGTGTTGAAGATAGTTGTTAGTGGTACACAGGGTTTACCTTCATCTTACCTACCCACGATCATAGCTCTATGTTCGCTTCCCTTCATCAAATATCAACACCCGCTCACTTCACCTTCGCCATTGGTGATTTATACACAGTTGCTGACCTTGTTACCTGGAAAGTTTACCATCACAGAATCTGCATTACTTGGCGTGTTATGTAAGCTTTATTCAGACTGCATATACATATACTTTTACAGACTGCGATTTTGATTTTCTACAATATTTGTATTAAGCGCATATTATTATTATTCGCGTAGTTATATTCTCATGGTTTAACCTATGGGAACTAAACAAAACTAAATAACATAATTAATTAATACTGATCTATTAATCTTACATTAAATTTTCAAATAACCATATTCTTGTTTTTAGTGTCGAGTCAACCCCAATGTGGTAAAAAAAATATAGACTTAAACTAGAATGTTTTCAATTACAAGTCATGGAAAAACTTCGTTCTTGAGGAAGCCACCTGTTTACTTAATGCCCGATAAAATGTGCATGGCGGAGAGAAAAATATCGACACCATGTTATTGATTCCACACTCAGGAAGCAAAAAATCAGTCAACAAAGTTGGCCTAATTAGTCAATGGACAGCATATATTCCCTGACCTTATCCTTTGTATTCAGGTCAACCAGATTATCCAGGTTAGGCACAAAATTTTCTCCATTGTTCCAATATTGTTTTCCACTAAGTAATGTATCAGAGCAATAACACACTCAAACAAGTAAGAACCTCTAATCGAATACTGTTTATGCCACCATAAGCAATATAAACGATACTTTCAATAAACGTTATCAACACTATTGGAATAAGTATACAGTGAATGGTAAAGCATTAACATTACCCCAATAAACGCCAGCCAGGCCCCGTGGCCTGGCTGGCAAAGCTCTCGCTTCACAGGCGAAGGGGCCGGGTTCGATTCCCAGAGGGGATGAACATTTCGACGCGTTTCCTCAAACCTGTTGTCCTGTTTACCTAGCAGCAAACAGGTACCTGGGTGTTAGTCGACTGGTGTGGGTCGCATTTGGGGTCAAGATTGAGGACCAATGGATTAATATTATTATTATAATCAATGGAAGCGCTAACCCGGATGGATTATACAGCGCCTGGGGGGGGGGGATGTGGAAGGCATTCAGCTTATTCGGAAGAGCCGGGTCCAATTTCCCTAAATCAGGAGCCCCTTTTACCAACTATCAAGGAACTTCCTTGAGGGGAGGACCCCAATGGAAATAAGAGAGTCCTCGATGACGCACTGCCTTTCTTGGGTTATCCTGGGTGGCTAACCCTCCGGGGTTAAAAATCCGAACGAAATCTTATCTTAATACTACCCACATAAATGTCACTCACGCATCCCTTAACCAGTGACGGCGCCAAGAGGAGCCCCCAAATAATAATAATAATAAAGATGCTTCAAAACAAGTTTGACTCCCTCTTCCAACAAGACAGCCACACCCGAGCTCCCCCCCCCCCCCTATCAGAATAGAAGTTCTATCGCTGGTCCCTGTCTACAAACATAAATACTACTACATATCATCCACGACAAGCATGAATACTACCCAGTGTCACCCATATACGTCTCTAAAAGCATTACCAGTAGCTTCCCCTCCATAAACGTCATCAAAACAAGAATCAATACTATCAATTCTCTAAGGACCCCAGTGGAAATAAGTCACTGTCTGATTTTTTGGGTTATCCTAGGTAATCTACACATATGCTGCTATGTATGATAATCTATGTAACTGTATTTGTGTGTACCTGAATAAAAACTTACTAAGTGTTAACACAGAACTTAAAACATACGTATATGAATACCATACTACATGACTATTTTCCACATAAAATATAATGAACAATATCGTGCATCAACTGTAACGTTACATACAGTTGATGCCCAAAATTTGTTGTACACAAGAGAATTTCTCACTAATCCTATACAATAAATTATATATAATTTAAGTGTATGTTTTATCAACCCGAACGCGGGTAAAAATATGGAAATAGTACCTCTGCGAATTTCGCCCATAAATTATAGCAAGAACTGTTCAATATTAAGTTGGTTTTACAGCTATTATTCTGTTGCACGTATGGTAAAAAACGCTACTTAACCCAACTCACCTAAATAAATAGCCTAATGTAATTTTACCCTACTACGCCATCGGTAGACATGCGTCTTTGTTTACATTCGGCTAGGCGCGACGTGATTAATATTAAACGTTCTTTGGCCTAGACATGCTACACAATTTCCCCAAAAATAACAATCTGGACGAGAAATGTTTATTCTGAGGTGTACATAGGTGGTACAAGCTAATAATAGGTTCAATTAAGGGCTGGTCTGACCTTAGCTTTTATTTTATTTTTAAAATTTAATAATTACAGTAGATTCTGAAACGGTGAATATTAAAATGGTATAAAATACCGACAGGTTGTTAGGTAAGACACATGAAACAGTTAGGTATCTTTATTTCGAAACGTTTCGCCTACACAGTAGGCTTCTTCAGTCGAGTACAGAAAAGTTGATAGAAGAGACGTGAAGACGATTCTGAAACACTGGCAAAAACAGTTGTTAGGATATATTAGCAAATATACCTTCATTTTGGTTCGAATGCCGCGTCAGAACTGATTAACGGTTAGTAATACGAGTTGTGTAAAGCTCCTGGCCGACCACAACAGCGTAAACAAAGACGGATCGAACATAAACAGACGCGCCATTCCCCAATCTACCGCTGGCGGAGTGAGGTTTAGTTACGTTTGCTTGTTTCAGGTTTGGTCGCGTTGGGTTTTCTTAGATTATGTTGCGTTACGCTATTTCCACAAAATAAAACTATGTCCATGCCATAACCAACCTAATATTGAACATTTTAATGAATAAATTATCAATCAAATCACAGGCCCTTAAAATATTTACCGGTAATGTGTATTGTAAAATGCAAACTACTGCCAAAATTATATATTTCTTTTGTGATTTTCAAGTTGAGTCTAATTAAGTGAATGGATGTCTTGAAATTTAAGCTAAATTTTATAAAAACATGTAAGAAATAATGTTTACTTTTTCTTAACCACTGAATCTGTGTAGTTATCATAATATTCAAAGGGGAGCGCTAAACCGGTTGGGGAAATGGAAGGCATTCAGACTCGATTCAAAGAATTGGAGCACAGATCCAATTCCTTAGATCAAGAGCCCCTCACCAGCATCAAGGAACCTCTCTTGAGAAGACTGAAATCGTTATATATCTTGATAAAGATACTACGACAGAATGGAAACCTTCATAGAGGCAGTTTCGCTTGGAGATATCTTGGCAAGTCTTGATTAGTCCTGGTCTGAAAGCGAAACTTTGTCTTAATAAGGTTTACAATCTTCCATAGTGTCTTTTTAATAGCTTGTCGGTTTTACGACCTTTTGTTTCCTTACATATCTTTATAACCGGTAAAGCTTTGCAGAGAAAGCTTGTACGGCGTGACGGGTGTAAAGTCGAGCTGGGGCAAGTAAAGGTGGTGGCAAGCTTTATGCGTTTTCCATAATATTTACAAAGAAAACACACTTTTCATACTCATAAGCCATGGGAAGAATACAATATTTAAATGTCAACCTACTACATAGTTAAAAAAAAAAATAGCACTCACCGTGTACGAGGAGTAAGTTTAGGAAAGTCTCTTATTAAAATCCGGGAAGGTTAGAGACACACTCCCACCCGCCTCACTACCAGTTCTCGACTGAGAGTAATAAACTCACTGATGTATAAGGGATCCAGAGAGACTGCAGCTCACACAGAAGAGCATCGAATGGAAGTACATTCTAAATAATAAAGATCTTCTGAACTTTTAATGCTTATACGTATTACTGCTTGCACCTCTTTATTTAAATTTGTGTACCTTATAGCCGTACACTAATGTAAACAATATTATTTTGTCTACATCTCAATATTATAAAGATTACTTAGGAAAAAAATCATTGCATGGTGTTATTATTATTCCCTTAATCTTTAGGATAAATGAATTTAGAAAGAGGGAGAGAAGGAGTGAGGATATATAAGAATTACCTGGGAATGTTGCTACGCCCAGCAGACGGCAGCTAAAAGTAGAGAGGAGGCTGCATGCTCTGGTGGCTCCTCATTTACAGGTGACAAACTGCTCGACATCGGCAGTGACAGGTATTCTACATAGTCGTCTGCTGCCGGTCTCGTCTGTGTCTCCAGTTTTTCGTTCTTTATAGCTGCATGCCTACATACATAAGTACGTCATGGGTGTTACTGTACTGGATTTTGGTGAGCCAACGGCAGTTAACTGTAGTGCCGAATTATACGATTAGCAAGACAGGGAAATCTAATGTGATAATATAACTCAAACTATGGTATATATATTCAGTGACATCACCTCATTCTCTCTACAAAATATGTATGTACTTCCTGCACTATTATCCATGCGAATTTAAATATACCATGCTGATCGTGACCATCAATTCGAAATGCTGTTTATAATTATATGGGCTTTACGAAACGTATATAACTCACTAAATTAATATTGTACATACTTTTACCTTTAAATTAAAACTCATAAGTTGTTCGTTAGAACTTTTGTGCTACAAAGGTAATGCTGGGAATAAAGCTATATGGTTTCCTTGGATTATCTACCTTTACCTGCACTCTAAAGGAGGGGTGTTAATGTTGCAGTTTAAAAACTGTAGTGTAAAGCACCCTTCTGGCAAGACAGTGATGGAGTGAATGATGGTGAAAGTTTTTCTTTTTCGGGCCACCCTGCCTTGGTGGGAATTGGCCAGTGTGATTAAAAAAAAAATTATTAAAATTTCTTAATTTATGTGTTTAATGTGTATGTAAGATGCAACACTTTAATTTATTAATTTGTAAAACTTTTGTATTAATAATTAGTTAGTGTAATAGTTTTATTAGTCACCCCCATGTCACTTCTGTGGGTGGTAGCCAAAAGATTGCAGAGGTACATAAAGTTTAAGGACTGGGTCTAATAATTCTGTTGACTGCTCAAGTTACAATAGGCATGAGTGATGATTGCAGCTTAAAAAAAATAATTAGCTCAAAATTTTGAGCTGACTCTCTCTTGCCCATGATAAAATTAAAATGCTATATAATTTATCTTGTAATTTATCCAGTAACTCGGTAATCATTGCAGTTTGCTCTGTACTGAAAGGTCTTGGGAAGAGCAAAAAGTATGTGTAAGTCTCTTGTTCATTCATTATTTTATTTTTAGAGATCTGGTTATATTGTGACTTGATACAGTTGGCTTAAATTTAATCCTAAAAGGTTTTTGATAAAAATGTTTGAAAAGAAATATTTAATGTTTAACCCTTTCACTGTAAGACCCCCCAAAATTAAGTATCAGCAGTGTCACAGTCTAAAAAATATATTCTAACATAAGAACATAAGAAAGGAGGAACACTGCAGGAGGCCTGCTGGCCCATACTAGGCAGGTCCTTTACAATTCATCCCACTAACAAAACATTTGCCCAACCCAATTTTCAATGCCACCCAAGAAATAAGCTCTGATGTGAAAGTCCCACTCATGTACTTATCCAACCTAGATTTAAAACTACCCAAAGTCCCAGCCTCAATAACCCAACTAGGTAGACTGTTCCACTCATCAACTACCCTATTTCCACACCAATACTTTCCTATGTCCTTTCTAAATCTATACTTATCTAATTTAAATCCATTACTGCGGGTTCTCTCTTGGAGAGACATCCTCAAGAGCTTGTTAATATCCCCTTTATTAATACCTATCTTCCACTTATACACTTCGATCAGGTCTCCCCTCATTCTTCGTCTAACAAGTGAATGTAACTTAAGAGTCTTCAATCTTTCTTCATAAGGAAGATTTCTAATGCTATGTATTAATTTAGTCATCCTACGCTGAATGTTTTCTAACGAATTTATGTCCATTCTGTAATATGGAGACCAGAACTGAGCTGCATAATCTAGGTGAGGCCTTACTAATGATGTATAAAGCTGCAGTATGACCTCTGGACTTCTGTTGCTTACACTTCTTGATATAAATCCCAGTAATCTATTTGCCTTATTACGTACGCTTAGGCATTGCTGTCTTGGTTTAAGGTTGCTGCTCACCATAACCCCCAAGTCCTTTTCGCAATCTGTATGGCTAAGTTCTACATCATTTAACTTATAAGTACTAGGGTTATGGGCACTCCCAAGCTTCAGAACCTTGCATTTATCTACATTGAACTGCATCTGCCACTTTTCTGACCAAGAATAGAGTTTGTTTAAATCCTCCTGAAGTTCCATAACATCTACGTTTGAATCAGTTATCCTACCTATCTTTGTGTCATCGGCGAATTTGCTCATATCACTAGTAATTCCCTCATCAAGATAATTGATATATATTATAAACAACAACGGGCCCAAGACTGATCCCTGTGGAACGCCACTTGTTACAGATCCCCACTCGGATTTAACCCCATTTATGGACACTCTGCTTCCTGTCAGTGAGCCATGACTCGATCCACGAGAGCACTTTTCCCCCAATGCCATGAGCTGCCACTTTCTTTAACAGTCTATGGTGCGGAACTCTATCAAAAGCCTTACTAAAATCTAAGTAAATAATATCAAATTCTTTATTGTGGTCAACAGCCTCAAAAGTTTTACTGAAGAAAGTTAATAAATTAGTTAGACAAGACCGGCCTCTTGTGAATCCATGCTGAGTGTCATTAATCAAGCTATGCTTATCGAGATGGCTTCTTATAATCTCAGCTATAATTGACTCTAGTAATTTGCCTACAATTGAGGTCAGGCTTATTGGAATAACAGAGCATCTTTTCCTGAAGGTGTTATAAAAAAATGTGAAATTTGATGAAAAACTTACAGAATTATGCAGGTACAAATTTAGTGTCTAGGTACAATTTTCACATTAGCAGTTTTGCCCACTGTAAGTCCCACTTTGAGCCAGTTCCATCGACTGTATGTATATATACATATGTATGTGCAATAAAATCACAGTAAATGGGTCATATCACAATATGCAGAACAACCACTGTGAAAGAATAGCGAAATTCCAAGCACTTTCATGACTTCTCACATTATCAAGGAACTATAAAAACAAAACATCAACACGAAGGCATATAAGGGCAAGGCTACACCTCACAGTTGCGTCACAAGACCCGACTCTGTGAAACACAACTGATACTCTACCCAAGCTTTAAGATTTTTTACTTGTCTAATGTATCATTAAATTCTTCCCAGATTTCATTAATTATAAATTAATCCAATTTGTATAAACCAAAAGAAACATTCATATTATTTTCAAAACTGCTTTTTATGAAAAATGATTCTAGTATATTCCTATCATCTATGGACTTGCTTGATACAACTTTACTCAGCCTTTTGAAAATCAGTTGGATGATTAAAATCTCTCACATGAATAAACAGAACATTAAAATCTTCTTCAGTTCTAATGCTATATTTATGTTGTTTTAATCTTAGTTCAAGACTTTTACCAGTTTGACTGTAATAAACTTCATCGCATATTTTACAAGGAATCTTATACACACACCCGTGTATATATGTATATATGCTTATTTGACCATATGTATATATACATATGTCAAATAAGCATGGAACTCACACCTGGTCAAGCACGTCAAGAAGTTAGAGAAAGTGCAAAGGTTTGCAACAAGACTAGTCCTGGAGCTAAGGGGCATGTCCTATGAGGAGAGGTTAAGGGAAATCAACCTAACAACAATGGAGGACAGGAGGGAGAGGGGGGACGTGATAATGACATAAAATTCTGAGAGGAATTGACAAGGTGGACAGAGACAGGCTGTTTCAGAGATGGGATGCAGCAACAAGGGGTCACAACTGGAAGTTCAAGACTCAGATGAGTCACAGGGTTGTTAGGAAATACTTCTTCAGTCATAGAATTGTCAGGCAGTGGAACAGTCTAGAGTGATGTAATGGAGGAAGGATTCATACATAGCTATAAGAAGAGGTATGATAAAGCTCGTGTAGGGAGAGAGTGGACGTAGTGGTGACCAATGAAGAGGTGGGACCAGGAGCTGTGACTCCACCCCTGCAACCATAATTAGGTGAATACAATTAGGTGAATATGCACACACATGCACCTGAGTGTGAGCATGCATGCACACACAGGGCCGGAAGCTATGACTTGACCCTGCAACCACAGTTAGGTGAGTGTACACACACACACACACACACACACACACACACACACACACACACACACACACACACACACACACACACACACACACACACACACACACACACTCACACTCACACACTCACACACTCAATGAAGAGGCAGGGCCACGAGCTATGACTCGACCCCTGCAACCATAAATACGTGAGTACAAATAGGTGAGTACACACACACACATACGTGTGGTACATGATGAGGTATCACAGTGGGCACCTGTGACGAGCGGGGTCCCACAGGGGTCGGTCCTAGGACCAGTGCTATTTCTGATGTATATGAATGACATGATGGAAGGGTTAGACTCAGAAGTGTCCCTGTTTGCAGATGATGTGAAGTTAATGAGGAGAATTAAATCAGATAAGGATCAGGTAGGACTTCAAAGAGACTTGGACAGGCTGGACACCTGGTCCAGCAACTGGCTTCTCGAATTTAACCCTGCCAAATGCAAAGCATGAAGATTGGAAAAGGGCAAAGAAGACCGCAGAGAGAGTATAGGCTAGGTGGCCAAAGACTGCAAACCTCACTCATGGAGAAAGATCTTGGGGGCGAGTGTAATACTGAGCACGTCTCCAGAAGCACACATCAGCCAGTTAACTGCTGCAGCATATGGGCACCTGGCAAATCTGAGAATAGCATTCCAATACCTTAATAAGGAATCGTTCAAGACACTGTACACCGTGTACGTCAGGCCCATATTGGAGTATGCAGCACCTGCTTGGAACCCACACTTGATCAAACACATCAAGAAATTAGAGAAAGTGCAAAGGTTTGCGACAAGGTTAGTTCCAGAGCTAAGGGGAATGTCCTATGAAGAAAGGTTAAAGGAACTTAGCCAGACGACACTGGAGGACAGGAGGGTTAGGGGGAGACATGATAACAACATACAAAATACTGCTGGAATAGACAAGGTGGACAAAGACAGGATGTTCCAGAGAGGGGACACAGAAACAAGGGGTCACAATTGGAAATTGAAGACTCAGATGAGTCAAAGGGATGTTTGGAAGTATTTCTTCAGTCATAGAGTAGTCAGGAAGTGGAATAGCCTAGCAAGTGAGGTAGTGGCAGCAGGAACCATACATAGCTTTAAGGTGAGTTATGATAAAGCTCATGGAGCAGGGAGAGAGAGGACCAAGTAGCATTCAGTGAAGAGGCAGGGCCAGGAGCTGAGTCTCGACCCCTGCAACCACAATTAGGTAAATACAATTAGGTGAGTACACACACACACACACACACACACACAGTGTGCATCTGTGATGAGCGGGGTCCCACAGGGGTCAGTTCTAGGACCAGTGCTATTTTTGATATATGTGAATGACATGATGGAAGGGATAGACTCTGAAGTGTCCCTATTCCCAGATGATGTGAAGTTGATGAGAAGAATTAAATCGGATGAGGATGAGGCAGGACTACAAAGAGACCTGGACAGACTGGACACGTGGTCCAGAAACTGGCTTCTCGAATTCAACCCTGCCAAATGCAAAGTCATGAAGATTGGGGAAGGGCAAAGAAGACCGCAGACAGAGTATAAGCTAGGTGGACAAAGACTACAGACCCTCAGGGAGAAAGATCTTGGGGTGACCATAAAACCAAGCACGTCTTCGGAGGCACACATCAGCCAGATAGCTGGCTGCTGCAGCATATGGGCGCCTGGCAAACCTGAGAATAGAGTTTCAATACCTTAATAAGGAATCGTTTAAAACCCTGTACACTGTGTACATTAGACCCATACTGGAGTATGCAGCACCAGCTTGGAACCTACACCGGGTCAAGCACGTCAAGAAGTTAAGAGAAAGTAAAAAAGGTTTGTAACAAGGCTAGTTCCAGAGCTCAGGGGAATGTTCTACGATGAAAGGTTGAGGAAAATTGGACTGACGACACTGGAGGACAGAAGGGTCAGGTGAGACACGATAACGACATACAAGATACTGCGGGGAATAGATAAGGTGGACGGAGACAGGATATTCCAGAGAGGAGACACAGAAACAAGGGGTCACAATTGGAAGCTGAAGACTCAGATGAGTCACAGGGATGTTAGGAAGTATTTCTTCAGTCATAGAGTCGTCAGGAAGTGGAATAGCCTAGCAAGTGAAGTAGTGGAGGCAGGAAACATACATAGTTTTAAGACGAGGTATGACAAAGCTCAGGAAGCAGAGAGAGAGAGGACCTAGTAGCGATCAGTGAAGAGGCGGGGCCAGGAGCTGAGTCTTGACCCCTGCAACCACAATTAGGTGAGTGTGACATGGGCTGCCACTGATACCTTCTACCTTGCCTCAAAGAATTTCCCCTCCTTTCTGTTGATGTCTTGCAACATTGCATAGCTCCTGACGATGCACAGGAGTGCGAGAGATCTAAAGCTAAAGATTTCCATCCACATATGGCTTATTCTGCATTATTAAAATTGCCTGTTTGTGATTGTATTGCATATACATACATACAGATGCATATACATACATATATACATACATGCACACATATGCATACATATATACATACATGCACACATATGCATACATATATACATACATGCACACATATACATAAATACATCCTCTTTTAACCTCTTTATTAATATTCATGTTATGTGAATTGCAGATAATTTATCAGATAAGGCATCAAGATGCTGCGATCCCTGTATGCCTATAAGGGAACACATGCCCGCACTCTTGGATTCCACGTGGGCGAGAAGTTTCTTGAAATTGGCCCCTCCAGGGACCCAAACTGGATACATGTTATTAGTGAAAGAGGTTCAGTAGGTTATGTTCCCAAGAATTATATGGCTGATGAAGAGGTAAGTACTTATAAAATGCCTTTTATATATACAGCCTCTCCTCACTTAGTGATGTACTCGTTTACTGACTCTTGGACTTACAACGAGCTCTCTGACCAGTATTCATACCTAAATATATTAGAGCTGATTTCCTCTACAGCCTCTCCTCACTTAATGACGAGGCTCTGATGGCCTTGTGGCTAACGCTCTCGCTTCACACAGCAAGGGCCTGGGTTCGATTCTCAGCCAGAGTAGAAACATTGGGTGTGTTTCTTTCCACCTGTTGTCTATGTTCTCCATCAGTAAAATGGGTACCTTGGTAATAGTCAACTGGTGTGGGTTGCATCCTGGGACACTGACCTAATTTGCCCAACATATTGAGCATAAGGGGCTTTCTATATAGTAGTATGTCATTGTTGTCAGCTAGGCCTGTATACCTTGTACATGTACTTGTAGTAAATAAAGAGCATACTATAATGGTAGTCAGTTTGTGTCAACCATCTCTGATATTGTTTTAATGTCACCTTTGCACTATTTATAACATTTCAGGTATATTTTTAAATGTTTATACAGTAGTTTACTCTATACGTATTGAGATAAACAGAATAGAGGAAATCAGCTCTAAAATATATTATTTAGGTATGAATACTGGTCAGAGAGCCTGTTGTAAGTCCAAGGCGTGTTATAAATGAGCACATCGCCAAGCAAGGAGAGGCTGTATATATTTTTTTTTTTCAGCAAGTTGGCTGTCTCCCACCTAGGCAGGGTGACCCAAAAAGAAAGAAAATCCCCAAAACGAAAATACTTTCATCATCATTCAACACTTTCACCTCACTCATACATAATCACTGTTTTTGCAGAGGCACCCAGATACAACAGTTTAGAAGCACATATAAAGATACAGTATAAAAAGTTACCTGAAATAATTACAGTATCAGGGCCCTAATTATATATACATGTACATATACTGTTCTGTTACACACCCCTCCAAACTGCCAATATCCCAAACCACTCCTTTAAAGTGCAGGCATTGCACTTCTCATTTCCAGAACTCAAATCCAGCTATATAACCGGTTTCCCTGAATCCCTTCACTAAATATTACCCTGCTCACACTCCAACAGCTCATGAAGTCCCAAAAACCATTCGTCTCCATTCACTCCTATGTAACACGCTCATACACGCTTGCAGGAAGTCCAACAAAACCTCCTTTAGCCCCTCCCTCCAACCTTTTCGAGGACGACCCCTTCCCCACCTTCCTTCCCCTACAGATTTATACACTCCATGTCATTCTACTTTGATCCATTCTCTCTAAATGACCAAACCACCTCACCAGCCCCTCTTCAGCCCTCTGACTAATACTTTTATTAACTTTACACCTTCTCCTAATTTCCATACTTCGAATTCTCTGCATAATATTTACACCACACATTGCCCTTAGACAGGACATCTCCACTTCCTCCAACCACCTCCTCGCTGCAGAATTTACAACCCAAGCTTCACACCCATATAAGAGTGTTGGTACCACTATACTTTCATACATTCCCTTCTTTGCTTCCATTGATAACGTTTTTTGTCTCCACGTATACTCAACGCAAAACTCGCCTTTTTTCCCTCATCAGGTTTAATCGGTTCCGTGACCGAGCTTGTAACTCAATTTGCTCATACATATCAAATCACTTTTCCTCACTGAAATTAATTGAAATGCCATTAATCCGTTCCAGCCCCCAAAAAAACACCCCAATTTTTTTGTTACTTTTTTTTAAATAAGAAAAATGCATTTATAAATAAGAAGTTATTTTTGCCTTTTTTTGCCAGGTCCCAGCAATATTTTAGAAATGCTGGAGTATATATGAAACTCTTTGAAGCACGGTGTAAGACGAGTGTCACTCCACTGCTGACAGTACAGCAGTGCAGCATTGGGGATTTAGCCTACTTTGAGCCCTATTTTCAGACAATTCCAATGTACAAGTTGACAAAAAATCATAACTATTTCGCTAGAACTCTATTTTTTCTATCAAATAGGTACATGAAACCACCCATTTACCAATTTCAACTATCCAATAAAGTGGTCAGAAATTAGCAATTTTGCCAATTTCACACAAATTTCAAAAGATGCCAATTTCCAAACAAGGTCCAGAATAAACAAGACAGGCATTCCTGGCACTAAAATAGCATTTCCTCTGTTCATAGTCACATTCCCAGGCCCTCTTACATTTCTTTTGCTTTCCACTTTAAATTTTTATTCTCACAAAAAACTGAAGATTTGCTGTTATACAGACTGCTGCATTAGTGTAGAAATGGTATAAATAATATCAGCACACTTGTGAAAAAATATTAGACTCCCCAGCTGATGTGTATTGGATGCATGGCATGATTTGTTTACGTTTGAACATAGGCAAAAATCAAACATTTCTGCTATTTTGAGTTCAATTTCAAGGTACTTTTCATTGTGAAACCAATCAAAATCATCTCAATTTCTGTAATATGTCTTCCATTCTCTAGAATGAGACCAGGAAAACTAGAATACAACCATAAATACCACACAAAAATACAGTGCAAAGTCGCTGTTTTAAACCAAAAACATGGTCAAAGTTTTTTTTTTCTCATTATGCACTGTGTGCTGCAGGATTTTTTTTATATTGTGCACACTGACCACATAGACCCATTCTTTCATATGTAGGCCTACCAGCTTTCTCTCGCTAGATTTGAAGGTGCTGGAATTTATGCGTACTAGTACGTCAATAACCCTGGTGCGTAAGCCGTACTAGTACGTTAAAAAAAAAATTGTAAAGATAAACCCGTATACAATACTGTACTGCTATGTCTCCCACAGTACTAGAATGTAAAATACCGATGTTACCCCACATGTACTGTAATTAATGCAAGCCTGTTGTCTTTGGTATACTGTAATTCATGCAACCCTGTTTTGTTTGGTATACATAATGTAAATGTAGGGTAATAATTTAATTTAGTAAAAGTAAAGTTAAATGTACAGGTACTCACCAGTAATGAATAATACCATTCTCTCTACAGCACTAAAAAATTTATACAGTACAGTACAGTGGACCCTTGCCTAACGCTATTAATCCGTTCCTGAGAGCTCAACGTTAGGCGAAATTATCGTTAGGCGAATTAATTTTCCCCATAAGAAATAGTGGAAATCAAGTTAATCCGTTCCTGACACGCCAGAGTATGAACAAAAAAAAATTTTACCACATGAAATATTAATTTTAATACACACAAACTGAAGAAGACATGCACAGTTACATGACATTTACCTTTATTGAAGATCTGGTGATGATTGATGGGATGGGAGGAGGGGAGACTGTGGATGGTGTTAATGTTCAGAAGGGGAATCCCCTTCCATTAGGACTTGAGGTGGCAAGTCCTTTTCCGGGGTTACTTCCCTTCTTTTAATGCCACTAGGACCAGCTTGAGAGTCACTGGACCTCTGTCGCACAACATATCTGTCCATAGAGGCCTGTACCTCCCGTTCCTTTATGACATTCCTAAAGTGTTTCACAACATTGTCAGTGTAATAGTCACCAGCACGGCTTGCAATAGCTGTGTGAGGGTGATTTTCATCAAAAAAGGTTTGCACTTTAAGCCACATTGCACACATTTCCTTAATCTTTGAAGTAGGCAACTTCCTCAATTTCTCTATCCCCTCCGAAGCAGTTTCCTCAGGTGTGGCCTCTTGCTGTTGAAGATGATCTAGCAGCTCATCAGTGGTTAGTTCTTCATTGTCCTCCTCCACCAACTCTTCCACATCCTCCCCACTAACCTCCAACCCCAAAGACTTCCCCAGTGCCACAATGGATTCCTCAACTGGCATAGGATTCCCAGGGTTAGCCTCAAACCCTTCAAAATCCCTTTTGTCTACACATTCTGGCCACAGTTTCTTCCAAGCAGAGTTCAAGGTCCTCTTAGTCACTTCCTCCCAAGCCTTACCTATAATGTTTACACAATTGAGGATGCTAAAGTGATCTCTCCAAAACTCTCTTAGAGTCAATTGAGTTTCTGAGGTCACTACAAAGCACCTTTCAAACATAGCTTTTGTGTACAGTTTCTTGAAGTTGGAAATGACCTGCTGGTCCATGGGCTGCAGGAGAGGAGTGGTATTAGGAGGCAAAAACTTGACCTTAATGAAGCTCATTTCCGCAGAAAGTCGCTCTGCCACATCTGAAGGATGACCAGGAGCATTGTCTAATACCAGGAGGCACTTAAGGTCTAATTTCTTTTCAATTAGGTAATTTTTCACAGTGGGGGCAAATGCATGGTGTAACCAGTCATAGAAAAAGTCCCTAGTGACCCATGCCTTACTGTTTGCCCTCCACAGCACACACAAATTAGCCTTGATGACATTGTTTTTCCTGAACACTCTGGGAGTTTCAGAGTGATACACCAATAAAGGCTTCACTTTGCAATCACCACTAGCATTGGCACACATCAACAGAGTAAGCCTGTCTTTCATAGGCTTATGTCCTAGGAGTGCCTTTTCCTCCTGAGTAATGTAGGTCCTGCTTGGCATTTTCTTCCAAAACAGGCCTGTTTCGTCACAATTAAACACTTGTTCAGGTTTCAGTCCTTCATTGTCTATGAACTCCTTGAATTCCTGCAAATATTTTTCAGCCCCTTTGTGGTCCGAACTGGCAGCCTCACCATGCCTTATCACACTATGTATACCACTTCAATTCTTAAATCTCTCAAACCAACCTTTGCTGGCCTTAAATTCACTCACATCATCACTAGTTGCAGGCATTTTTCTAATTAAATCGTCATGCAACTTCCTAGCCTTTTCACATATGAAACACTTGAGAGATGCTATCTCCTGCTATCTGTTTTCGTTTATCCACACCAATAACAGTCTCTGAACATCTTCTATCACTTGCGATCTCTGTTTCGAAAACAAAGTTGCACCTTTGACAAGAACAGCTTCCTTGATTGCCATTTTCTTGGCCACAATAGTAGCGATGGTTGATTGGGGTTTTGTGTACAACCTGGCCAGCTCGGAGACACGCACTCCACTTTCATACTTAGCAATGATCTCTTTCTTCATATCCATAGTAATTCTCACTCTTTTTGCTGTAGGGTTGGCACTTGAAGCTTTCTTGGGGCCCATAGTGACTTATTTTGCAGGTGCAGTCACTAAAAAGGCTGTGATAATATGAAATGATCCGATTGTATGCTTGGAAGCGACCGCGGTGGCTGGCTTGTAAACACTGGCACCCACGGAACAAGTGAGGCGGGCTCAGGCCGCACGTGGACGCGTCTCGAACGAATCGCGTTGAGCGAGTTTTTTAGCGCTAGCCGAGGCAAAATTTTTGCGTTAAAAATGTATCACTAGGCGGATTTAACGTCATGTGATGTGTTCGTTACGCGAGGGTCCACTGTATTATATTTTTATGGAAATTTTGCTGAATTTACATTAATATTTGTGTTACAAAATTATTAAATTACATTTTTCTTAACATTTAGTGTTAAAACACACAAAATATTATATATTGCCACGAAGAAAGCCCCCCCAAAAATTCCGCGAATTTGCGGTGATTTCCGTGAACAATTATTAGTTAGATTCTAAGGAAAAATCCGTGAATTACTGAACCACAAATTCACTGGGATCCACTGTATGTATGCATGAAATGTATACACATAATTGTGGATCATACAGTAACTGTTATATTTTTGTATATACTCTACATGTAGAATATATATATACGTATATATATATATGACTTACAGGCTCCCCCAGTTGAGATGTTGGAATTCATTGACGGATGTATTGAAGCCACACATTTGAATGCAAGTGAACGTGGTGGGCATTATGCCCGGAGTGAGCATGATGCTCTCCATAAGTTAGTAGAATTGCGTCAACAGTGGTATGCCAAATGCCCACCATCAGTTCATCCTAATAAACGGCCTGCTCCACCTCCACCACAAGTAAGTTTTGCATTTTATTAAGACATGATTATGAATATTTTTATCCCCGTTTCCAAAGGATTATACATTTGAGATTTTATTGCAAATAGGTTAGCCTTATTGTTATTCTTTCAACAAACTGGCTGTATCCCACTGAGGCAGGGTGGCCCAAAAAGAAAAACGAAAGTTTCTCTTTTTAAATTTAGTGATATATACACAGGAGAAGGGGTTACTAGCCCCTTGCTCCCGGCATTTTAGTCGCCTCTTACGACTAGCATGGCTTCTGAAGGAAGAATTCTGTTCCACTTCCCCCTGGAGAAGACATGTTATTATTAATAGAGATACATATTTGAAAGGGTTAGATTGATACATTTTTCTTATAATTTTTTCATATCTAAACATCTTGAGGCATTGCTACATTGTTGCATCATGACTACTTGACACTGAAACAAAGGGAGTGTTTTTACTGGGAAATCCTGTGTGATACAGCTTATGTGAACTTGTTGAACTGCCCTTTACATTAAAATCTTATGATATACAGTATGCTGTATATCAAAACGGGAACACGAAAGATAAAAAAAGGTACATAAAAATCCTGTTTATTCATAAGTTCGTATTGATTTTCTGTTCATTTTGAACTAATTACATCGGTAGGAGTTTAATGTTCACTCAAGTTATCGGATATGTTTTCTATAAGAAGAAAAATATCTTCTGTAGTTGCATTGGCTATTACAGGTGTTCCTTGCTTTATGCTGTACATGTGTATCTGGCTCATAGAAGCTGTGCTACTTAGTTCTGACAGGTCATCAACACTTAATTCTACATATTAAAAATTTTCAATATTCTTGTAAACCATGTGTGTGTGAATCCATATGAAGCAAGGGGGAAATCTATACTTAACTATAATACATGTGGTCCTTAATAACACACACATTTCACCAGAACCTGTCATTTTCCAGTTGACCAGTTTGCAATACATTATATACAGTACCATACATAAAGGCAATTTTCAGTAGACTTCCTTTATGAAGCTGCAGATGCATTCCTGGATTTTTTATATATGCCTTTTAAAATTAAGTCAATATTATACAGTGAAGATAATGGGTGAAAGAAGAACATGTGTTGGAAAAATAGATAATTAATTATTAAGTACTGTTCTGTACATAAATTAGGAATGCTCACTAATGATAGGTGTACTAAATGCAACTTGGGCAGAAACCAACAAATGGTGAATCAAAGATACATAGACTGAGTAAGCCTTTTATTTAATGAGGTTTCACTTTATGGAGCTTTGTCAAGCACAGAAGCTAGCCCAAGAATGTTATCTTTTAAAGCACACTGAATTTGGTCAGACCAGGTGAATGGGGTCACAGTACATCTGGTGAGCATCAACCTGTGATCAGTGTGCTAGGCAAACCCATCACCTGCATTATCCTTTTTTATTTTACATATTCTTTCTTTCAACAAACTGGCAGTATCCCACTGAAGTAGGGTGGCCCAAAAAGAAAAATGAAAGTTTCTCTTATTAACTTTAGTAATGTATACATGAGAAGGGGTTACTAGCCCCTTGCTCCTGGCATGATAGTCGCCTCTTTCGACACTCATGGCTTATGAAGGAAGAATTCTGTTCCACTTCACCATAGAGATAAGAGGAAATAAACAAGAACAAGAACTAGTAAGAAAATAGAAGAAAACCCAGAGTTGTGTGTGTGTGTGTGTATATATATAATATATATATATATATATATATATATATATATATATATATATATATATTTTTTTTTTTTCAACAAGTCGGCTGTCTCCCACCGAGATATAGATATATATATATATATATATATATATATATATATTATAGGTAGTAGGTTGGTAGACAGCAACCGCCCAGGGAGGTACTACCGTCCTGCCAAGTGAGTGTAAAACGAAAGCCTGTAATTGTTTTACATGATGGTAGGATTGCTGGTGTCCTTTTTTCTGTCTCATGAACATGCAAGATTTCAGGTACGTCTTGCTACTTCTACTTACACTTAGGTCACACTACACATACATGTACAAGCACATATATACACACCCCTCTGGGTTTTCTTCTATTTTCTTTCTAGTTCTTATTCTTGTTTATTTCCTCTTATCTCCATGGGGAAGTGGAACAGAATTCTTCCTCCGTAAGCCATGCGTGTTGTAGGAGGCAACTAAAATGCCGGGAGCGGGGGGCTAGTGACCTCTTCTCCTGTATATATTACTAAATGTAAAAGGAGAAACTTTCGTTTTTCCTTTTGGGCCACCCCGCCTCGGTGGGATACGGCCGGTGTGTTGAAAGAAAGAAAGAATATATATATATATATATATATATATATATATATATATGTAGTAGGTTCGTAGACAGCAACCACCCAGGGAGGTACTACCGTCCTGCCAAGTGAGTGTAAAACGAAAGCCTGTGATTGTTTTACATGATGGTAGGATTGCTGATGTCTTTTGTCAGTCTCATAAATATGCAAGATTACAGGCATGTCTTGCTACTTCTACTTACACTTAGGTCACACTACACATACATGTACACATTTATTTATACACACTCATCTGAGTTTTCTTTGATTTTATCTTAATAGTTCTTGGTCTTATTATTTTTTCCTTTTATATCCATGGGAAGTGGAATAAGAATTTTTCCTCCGTAAGCCATGCGTGTTGTAAAAGTCAACTAAAATGCCGGGAACAATGGGCTAGTAACCCCTTTTCCTGTAAAGATTACTAAAAAGAATAAGAAGAAGAAAATTTGTCAAAATTGGGGAAGTCTGAATGTGCGTGGATGTTTTGGCAGATGATAAGAAAAGAAAATGATTGTGGATGTTATGAATGAGAAGAAGCTGGATGTCCTGGCTTTAAGTGAAGCAAAGCTGAAGGGGGGGGAGAGTTTCAGTGGAGAGGAATAAAATGGATTAGGTCGGGGTTTCCCAAAAAGAGTTAGAGCTAAAGAAGGAGTAGCAATAATGTTGAAGGATAAGCTATGGCAGGAAAAGAGGGACTATAAATGAAATTTAAATTCAAGGATTATGTGAGTAAAATAAAGATTGGATTGAAAGTGGGTTATAATAAGCATGTATGCACCTGGAGAAGAGAGAAGTGTAGAGGAGAGAGAGAGATTTTTGGGGAAAGTTGAGTGAATGCGTGGGGAGTTTTGAATCAAGTGTGAGAGTAATGGTGGTTGGGGAATTCAATGCTAAAGTGGGTAAAAATGTTATGGAGGGAGTATAGGTAAATTTTGGGGGGGCCAGGGGTAAATGTAAATGGGGGGCCTTTATTGAGCTATGGTAGAAAGAGATTTGGTAATAAGTAATACATATTTTATGAAAAAGAGGATAAATAAATATACAAGGTATGATGTACACGTAATGAAAGTAGTTTTTTTAGATTATGTATTGGTGGATAAAAGGTTGATGGGTAGGCTCCAGGATGTACATGTTTAAAAGAGGGGCAACTGATATATCGGATCATTATTTAGTTGTAGCTACAGTTAGAGTAAGAGGTAGATGGGAAAAGAGGAAGTGGCAACAACAAGTAAGAGGGAGGTGAAAGTGTATAAACTAAGGGAGGAGGAAGTTCGGGTGAGATATAAGCGACTATTGGCAGAAAGTGGGCTAGTGCAAAAAGAGTAGGGGGGGGGTGAAGAGGGTTGGAATAGTTTTAAAAATGCAGTATTAGAATGTGGGGCAGAAGTTTGTGGTTATAGGAGGGTGGGGGCAGGAGGAAAGAGGAGTGATTGGTGGAATGATGAAGTAAAGGGTGTGATAAAAGAGAAAAAGGTAGCTTATGAGAGGTTTTACAAGCAAAGTGTTATAAGAAGAGCAGAGTATATGGAGAGTAAAAGAAAGGTAAAGAGAGTGGGAGAGAGTGCAAAAGGAAAGCAGATGATAGAGTGGGAGAGGCACTGTCCCAAAAAATTTTTAATGAAAATAAGAAAAAATTTTGGAGTGAGTTAAACAAGTTAAAAAGCCTAGGGAAAGTATGGATTTGTCAGTTAAAAACAGAGTAGGGGAGTTAGTAGATGGGGAGATGGAGGTATTAGGTAGATGGCGAGAAAATTTTGAGGAACTTTAAGTGTTAAGGAAGAAACAGAGGCAGTAATTTCATGCACTGGTCAGGGAGTATACCATCTTTTAGGAGTGAAGAAGAGCAGAATGTAAGTGTGGGGGAGGTACGTGAGGCATTACGTAAAATGAAAGGGGGTAAAGCAGCCCGGAACTGATGGGGTCATGACAGAAATGTTAAAAGCAGGGGGGGATATAGTGTGGAGTGGTTGGTACTTTTGTTTAATAAATGTATGAAAGAGGGGAAGGTACATAGGGATTGGCGGAGAGCATGTATAGTCCCTTTATATAAAGGGAAAGGGGACAAAAAAAGACTGTAAAAATTATAGAGGAATAAGCTTACTGAGTATACCAGGAAAAGTGTACGGTAGGGTTTATAATTGAAAGAATTAGAGGTAAGACAGAATGTAGGATTGCGAATGAGCAAGGGGGTTTCAGAGTGGGTAGGGATGTGTAGATCAAGTGTTTACATTGAAGCATATATGTGAACAGTATTTAGAAAAAGGTAGGGAATTTTTATTGCTTTTTATGGATTTAGAAAAGGCATATGATAGAGTGGATAGAGGAGCAATGTGGCAGATTTGCAAGTATATGGAATAGGGGTAAGTTATTAAATGCTGTAAAGAGTTTTTATGAGGATGTGAGGCTCAGGTTAGGGTGTGTAGAAAGAGGGAACTACTTCCCAGTAAAAGTAGGTCTTAGACGGGGATGTGTAATGTCACCATGGTTTGTTTTAATAATTTTATAGATGGTTGTAAAAGAAGTAAATGCAGGGTGTTTGGGAGAGGGGTGGGATTAAATTATGGGAATCAAATTCAAAATGGGAATTGACAGTTACTTTTTTTCTGATGAAAACTGTGCTTATGGAGATTCTGAAGAAAAATTGCAAAGGTTAGTGGATGAGTTTGGGAATGTGTGTAAAGGTAGAAAGTTGAA